AGGTGGACTTCTTGCTCCCAAAGAGCACAGCGGCGGCTGAAACAGGCAAGATGCACCTGAACGTGGAGGAAGATGTGATTCACTCTGAGGGGAGTTGAGGGATGCTTCACGAAGGAGACACATTTAAGCTGCGTCTCGAGGGAAAGATTCACCAAGAAGAGCTGGGAGAGAATTTTGGGGCAGAGGATACAGCACAGGGAAAGGTGCAGATGTCTGAGATGGCGTGGATCCAATGTGGGGGACGGGGTGGACAGTGGTGGGAGATGAAGCTGGGGGCTCTGAGTCAGACTCCAGAGTGACTGACTGTCACCCTGAGGGCGTGTGGACTTTATCCAGTAGACCGTGGAGACACAGAGGACAGGGGATGTCCTCACTGGGTTAAAGGCCGAGGTAGGAAGCTGCGATCGCATTGGGCTTGTACCCACAAAACCATACTTGGGCCAGACTGTTCCTGAATGAAGCACACAGAGCCCCGTCCTGCCTCAGGGGTCTGCTCCTGCGGTTCCCTCAGGCTGGGACACTCTTCCATCCTCTACCTGGCTGGCTCCTTCTTATCCTTGAGGAGGGAGCTCAAACACCACTTCCTCCGAGAGACCCTCCAAAACCCCTCTTCTTAAATATAGCCTCACCCCCCAGCTATTTCCTTTCACCAGACTCATCCCAACCTGCAATCATCTCGTTTCTCTGTATTTAGCGGTTTATTGCCCTCATCACTGGAATGGAAGCCCTAGGAGAGCAGGGCCCCTGACTATCTCGTTCATCACTCATGCCTAGAATGGTAACCAGCACAAAGCAAGATGTAAAATATTTGCTGAATGAATTCATTAATGTATTTCCAGGGTTGTAGCTGCAACTACACCTCTCCTCTCCCATTGAAGAAAGCATATGTGAGTATATGCAGACCAATTAAACTGGAAGATCTGGGGGTGGGATCCGGACACCGGTATTTCAAGGTCTCCAGGTGATTCTAATGTGCATCCAAGGATGAGATTCAGACTTTGAAGGACATGAGTGCAGCCATTGGAACCAGACAACCTGCATTTGTTTCCCCAGATCGATCACCCAGATCTTAACTCCTCAGATACAAAGTCTGGGGTAAGTTCTCTCTAATCTCTTGCATCTGTTCTAATTTATTTTTAAAGTAAATACATTTATGGATTTTAATACCCTATTAAAACAAATTACTTGTGATATGTATTGTAAATGATCAAGACACACCTCGATGTCACAACCTCAAATGGAGACGTCCTATGCAGTAGAAGCAACTGGTACATTTGAAGACCGAATACGTCACGATCCATTTCAGAGCCTAAGCATACGTTTTTGATCACACGCAAAGCATTTCAGCCAGGATTTCATGCTACAAAGATGGCAATTTAACCTCAAAGATTTACTCCTCTCTCTACGTAATTAATTTGTTTGTTGTTTTACAGCAAGGAGGCGGTTTGGAAGTTCTTTGGAAAGATAAACACGGAGTAGAGTTAATCACTTCCTGGGTGTCTGTCATGTGATGGGCACTAGAATATAGAAGTATAAATAAACCATAAGTCCAGATCTTACAGAACTAAGACCAGGGGAGACAAGGGACACCCACGTGCCACAACAGGTGTCACCCTAGTAGAGTGCTATAACAATTACTATCATTTGTTGACACTGTACTAAGCGTTTCATGTGTAAGGCTCATTAAATCCTCAGAGCCATTCCAGGATATAGGTACTATTATTATGCCCCCATTTTACAGATGAGGAGAATAAAGCACAGAAAGGTTAAGAAACTTGCCCCGGGCCAAACAGCTATTAAAGGACAGAGCCTCGATTCAGATCCACACAGCCCAACTCCGGAGTCCTTGTGCTCAACCCTCATGCCATATTCTGTCAAGGGAACAACGAAGGCAGGAAAGAGCACTTCTGGCTGTAGGAAGGGACATTTCCTGGGGAAGACAGCATTCGTGTTTGTCTTGAGAGAAGGGTCAACTTTCAAGAGGCAGAAACAAGGGAAGGATTGTTTGCCGACAAGTGGACGGCGGCACTAGTGGAGATTTGGAAATCGGAAAACACTCTTGAGGAGTGGCATTTGGGAGACTGGAGGGTACATGATAAGGAGACATAAGATAATAGTGGGGGAAATGGGCTAGGCAAGGGCCGGATTATGGAGTGTCAGGATGCCAGCACGGATTTGGACTTGAGTTAACAGCCATCCCAGAACCACCAAAGGCTTTGGCATGTCAGAGGCACACGCAGCAAGTTGGAGGGAGGTCTGGAGGGCGAGGCAGTGGTAGGAGACCAACCTGGCAGCAGTGTCAGTAATCCAGGCAAGGGGAACAAAAACAGGCTAGGACGGTGACAGTGACATAAAAGAGGAAGTAACAAATGTGAGAGGTTATAGGACTCAGCAGGACTTGGTGTGCGATTGGAACACGCAGAGGAGCGAGCGGAAGGGGTCACAGGAGCGTCTCTTGTTTTGACACTGGAAGGATGGAGGCGCCACGCACTCAGATAGGGAAGACAGGAACAGGCTTGGCAGAGGAAAGGGCGCAGATAAATTTCCTTTGGGAATGTAAGGAGTCAGTCTCATTATTCTTAAACCAAGCCAGCAGGAAGATTTTCTGACTATTATTTGAAGCCCTGCTCAGAGATGCTTCTTTGCACTAGCTGCTCTCAAATTGTTCTGTGACCTTTCACCTACTGAAATTGCGAATGCACCTGTGGTGAGAGATTTTAGGAATTCCATCTTTACTTAGGACTCTTAGGTCATTGAAGGTTACGGTGTGGTGTCATTCCATCAAGAATACAGGGAAGTCAAGTCAGTTGCTTTGTTCAAGGAATTCAAAGCAAGGGTGGAGGGTGGGGGCAGGCAAGAACTTCTATCCAACTTGGGCAAAAGTTAAAGCATCCTAGAATTGAATTTGAGGACTTTTAACTGTTTAGGACTTGTTGCTCAGGTTCTAAAGAGGTGAATTAACCTTGAGGGAGGGCCTGGTTCTAGACACCACAGCGGGATAGATAACCATGGATCCCAAACTCAGGTAGTTAAGCACCAAGCTTACTAGAAATCTCAGGTGCTACACCAGACTTACTGGATGAGAATCTTCATGTAATAAGATGTCCGGTGATTTACATGCAGTAGTATAGATTAAAAGTATGCACTTTGGAATAGATGTATCAGGGTTTCCATCTCAGCTTAGCCACTTAACTACCTACTACTAGCACTTAACCTCTTGGACCCGCTTCACGTGTAAAAATCAATCAGCATGGAGAAGAAAAAACAGAATCAATCAGTGGCCCTAAATCTTGGTTTTACCTTAGAACAATCTGGGAAGTTTTCAAAACCTCCATGCCTTGGCCATAGCGCAGGCCAATTAAATCAGAATCTCTCCAGGGTAGGATCCAGACATCAGTATTTAAAGGCCTCCAAGTGATTCCAAAGTGCAGCCAAGGCTGAGAATCGCTGATGACTTTGAAGGACAAGAGTGTGGCCATTGGAACCAGACGATCTTCATCCATATCCCACGTCTACTATTTCATGTATGAGGACTGGGGCTCCTTAACCTCTCCCTAAACTTTAGTTCCTCCATTTGTGAGACGAGCATGGCACAGAGTAACAGAAACCCTCTCAAAGGGCTCTGAGCATTGAAGGAGTTGACTCATGTAAAGCACTGGGCACAGTGCACACAGGGCTCAGTGAGTATCTGTTACTATTTAAGCAAGTCTCAGCTTCCTTTGCAGAAAGAACCAGGGAAGCAATACATAGCTGGAGGTTATCATACAAGCGCCAATCTGTGGTCACGCTCATACTTTTCCCCACCAGGGGTGGAGTGACTTACTCGGCCACTAGGAAGTTAATGCGTGTTGCCTTAGCTGTTTCAAAAATTTAAGAACCAATTCTTTTTCTTCTTAAATTGGAGAATTCGGCAAAGGTGGCTGGCAAGGAGCTTGTCTGTGCAGAATGGGTGACAGGAAGGTGTATCCAAAATGTTCCCAACTAAGGTGTCAGAACAGGGTGCGGTAGGAGTGAGGCAGATCATGTAGTGCTTTGTCTTTTAACTGTCCTAACGCTCTGAGCAACAGACGCTGCACCCCATCTAATGTCTCACAGCCATCTCTCCACTTACAGTATCTAGAATGGTGGTGGAAAGGCCTTTACGAAGCCTCCTATACAACAACTTTGCTGTTCAGAGCTCTGCAAACAGGAAACCAAGGCCCAGGGAACTGAGACTCATGCATTTTTTTTTTCAGATGCAATTAAAGGCCACGACCAGAAGGTATAAAGTGACCCAGTGAGATGGAGGGGAAATAGCCTAGTAGTGAGAAAGGAATTGAATGAAAGGAAAAATAGAGACGTAATAGCGCTTTGAACCAAAGAGCTTTATAAATACTTGTGGCTTTAACCTGCCCAGGAGGTAGATAAGCATGTTCCCTTTAGTTTGTCCTCAAATTCAACCTCTCACAAGAGGTTAAGAAACACACCCAAGGTTGGAACTGACACTCAGACCTCCCGACTTCCTGGCTTTGGAGCTGGGAGCTCAGCCTCCACCTCCCTTGTCTATCAGGAAAAACATCTGGGTTCTAATGCTTGAGGATGGGATATCAAGGGGAAGTGGTGGAAGTTTGGTTCTTTAAGAAACTCTGAATGAGACTGCCTAAGACCCAGCCAGGAGGCCCCTCCCGTGGCCTGAGTCACAAGGCTCAAGTGTTTCTTCACTTCTCCTATCCTGGACGCTTCCCTTGCATGACCTTAAGGGAAATCTGAGATGCTGGATGGGAAGAAAGAAAGTTGAGACTTCAAAATGTGTGAACACAGACAGGCCCCGAGGTGCCGCCTCAGGTAACAAAGCCTTTCCTTTCCACAGTCACGTCTCGTGATAGCACGCGGCTTCCCGGCCACGCTGGCAATGCCTGCTTGAAGCAAAGAGGGAGGAACAGGCAGGACCACAAGAAAAAGCGAGGGGAAGTCATCTTTAAAGGCCAAAAGGTTATATAAAACATAATAAAATACAACCGTTTCCTTTAAAAATTTTAATGGGCAGGAAATGGTATAGAATAACTGCCAAGTCACATAAATTAACGTTTTCGTTAATGTTTGTGATCCCGGAAAGAACCCTCTATCGGTCGAGGCAAACTGCATGAAGTTGTCATCAACCGCTGCCTGGGCGCGTGACGGTGTGGGCCATGGACCCATCCTCACGTGGTCCAGAAAAAGACGCGGCTGCCATGTTTGGCAGGCTTCAGATCTCCTTCTATCTCAGGGTTGGGCTCTGGCCTTGCTCTTGAGTGATAGGGATTCTCTGGTAAAGGCCGATCTGTTTTCACTTTGGTGACCTGCAAAGAGTGAAGAGGAAAGAAGCAAAGTGGAAAGTCAGGTGGAGTAGCTGTGACCACAGACGCACCTCCCGGCGTCTCCTCTCCGCTCCTGCTGCCCTGGCCACTCCTCTTCTTTAAAGCCCTCGCAAATCACATTCAACCCTGAGTAAATATTTCAGAATGCCTACTTTGTGTCATTCCACGTGGAAGTTAGGGACACAGAGAGAACAAGGTTCCCACTGTCCTCAGTGAAGGAGCCAGAAAGGAACACCCCCACCCCAGGCCTTCCCACACCTGAGAGGCAAATGAGTGCCCAGGCAGCAAGTTCCCTGCACACCCACCCATCCTCAAGGCCAGGAGCCTGGACTATTTCAGAGACGTAACTAACGTTCAGCTTCATCCTGAAGGATGAGCAGGAGCCCACCAGGAAGATTAGAGCAGGGAAGACCTTCCAAGTAAACAAACAGCCCACATGAAGACAGAGAAGCGCGTCTTTGGAAGGGCCAAAGCAAGGATCCATGCAGGGTGGAAGGAGGTGCAGCCCCCAACCAAGCACATCCTGCTGTTAGAAACAACACCAAGTGCATTATTCCAGTACATTCTCACACTCCTCAGAGGTCAGTGTGCAGAGGTTCACCGGGGCCACCTAGCTAACAACGGAAGAACCAGTACTCAAAGCCAGATCTCCCTACTCCAAAGCCTGTCCTTTTAAATTACACGCTACACTGGGAGGCAGGGGCCAGGCGATGAAGGATGCTGAATGATATGCAAAGGTGTCTGAATTTTAACCCAACACAGGGAAGCAGCAAGGTGCACATCTGTAGGCCAGAAGGTCCAGAAGCTACTAGACCAGAGGGCGCTGAGCCCACGGCCAGGCGAGAGTGGGACACTGAATTATGTAACAGGAAGAGAGGTGGACGATGTTTCACGTCCACATTAGCCCACAAAAATTTCCATCCAACACTCAACAGAAACTGTTCTCATTTTAAAGAGGATGAAACAGGCCCAGAGAAGCAGAAAGACAGAAGGCCATGGTTATTAACAGTCTTGTTAACTAGTGGTCTGAACTCTAAGCTACTCCATGTAACATGACCAGATTAATCTTCTCAGATGTACAATTTCAAAAACAACTTATTGTGAACAGAGCTTCCATGTACACAATCACACAATCACATAATCATCGCTACAACCACCCTAAGGCACACTGGTTACTCTAGTTCACAGAAGAGGACCAGCGATGGCTGGTCCAAGATCAAGACACAGTCAATGTCAGAGCTGGGGCTGGAACCCCAGTCTTCTGACTGCGAGTCCAGAATAGTTTTTTATTTGCTCTTCAAACAGTGTTCTCATCTCTCTGCTATAATTAGAGATCACTAATGGTTCCTTACTGCTTGACAGAGTAATTCCAAATGCCTCCAGCTGGCATTTGATGCTCCTTTAAGGAATTCAAGACGTCTGTGAAATAAATCTAGAAAAAAGTAATGAAAGGACCCCTTTAAAGGACAAATTACTGTGGAAAAGACAATGAAACAACATCCTCTTCTACCCCACTCAGAAAAGAAAAGGAGCAAAAGTATGTGGCCAAACTAATCGCTCAGTAAATGACCTTGGGCAACCTCCTTAGCCTTCAATTTCCCATCTGTAAAACAGGGCTATCAGCAGCCCTCAGGGTATTAGGATAACTATGTGAAGTGCCTGATGCATGGAGCAGGTGCTCCATAGTAAGCTGTTTTCAGTATTAATATTATCAGGATGATAGACTTATCGGTGAGAGACAGCAGTTCTGCCCAGAAAAGTCAGAAACTTCAAAGACGGACCTGACGTCTGAGCTGAGACTGGACCAGTGAGCAGGAGTTCGCAAGGGGCACACAGGAGGGCAGGGAGTCCAGTGGAAACAGATTGCACAAGTGAAAGAAGCCAAAATAAGCCTTATCCAGCTTTCTAGATCATCACCTTTCTATAAAGAGATTGGATACTGAATTTAAGTATAATTAAAGCTAATAATCCTTTTAAAAAAAAAACCTTTGAGAAGAGTTAGGATAACAATACCTTTTTCTTTTATAGGGTTTTTAAAAACGCTAATACTAAGATTCAGGAGTAAATATGCTTTCTTAACAGCATGATCTGTTAATTCCCCTTTCATGGGACAGAGATGACAATAGGTAGTTTTCTTTACTATATGTGTAAGTTCCACCACTTTCCAACTTAGAATTATCAACTATTAAAATAATTTGTTCAGTGCAGCAAAAGAAGGTATCTGAAGTAAAGATAAGCCAGACACAATAAAAAAAAAATTGCTAAGTCATCCCTCTATATACAACAACAAGCTCAGGACCCAACTGTCCACAGATGCCACACACACAGGGAAGGGAAGGAACGTAACTGTGGATCTGTGTGCCAGGCACTGTGCTGGGGGGTCACACAGGCTCCTCAGCCTAGTGCTCACAGAAAAACAGGAATTCATACTGGCCCCATTTTGTAAATGTGGCAGGACAGGAAATATTAAGCAATTTGCTCAAGATTCCATATCAATTAGGCAATGAAACCAAGAGTCAGATCTCCCTCCATGCTTTGCTATGTACGCTTCCCAGAGGGAATGGAGGGTGACGAGGCTCAAGAAGCAGAGATGCGTCAGATCACAAAGGGTCGTGTATGTCAGGATGTGGAGGGGATGCTTTGTTCTGTAAGTAAACAGGGGTCCCTTGAAAAGTTTTTTTTTTAATGAAAGTGGTATTTGATTTACTTTCCACACAGATTATGGCTATAATGTAGAAGTAAGTGCATCTTAAATTCTTCAGTTTCAGAGGATGCACTGTCTTCTAAACTCTGAACTGATCCACCCTCCATTCCCAGAAATGCAAGTAGCCCAGTTACTAAGAACTCCTGTCCAAACAGCAGGGATAGTGAGAGGATTCAAAAAACATCCCAGGAGACGCTGACCAACAGGAACTGAGGAATGGATAAAGGAAAAAAGAGTGGACAGCGAAGACAAAGACACTCAGGTTTCTAGCTCTGACGTTTCAACAGATGGTGGTGTCACAATCGAGACAGAAAATACAGAAGGAAGAATAGGAAAACGTGCCTTTTAAACTTCAAGCATTACATTTTGGGTTTTGTTTTGTTTTTTCAATCCTAGGTATGTTCCCGAAAAATCTGACATAACCCTGAACCTATTTCCCCACAATAACCTCCATGTTTTCAACTGACAGTGTCCCCTAACATTTTGTTTGTCCTCATCTACCCCTTTCTGTTCCTCTGTTAGCTAATTAATTAAAACAAATCTGCACATGTTGGAAGATCTACTTAAAGGAACATTTCTATTAAATGAACCCCTCTCTGGTTTGTGCACAGCCGCTCCCTAGTTAGGCTGACTGGCCAATCTGGATTCCTCACATCAGGTCTGCGCTCACAGGAGATGCTTTCCAGACCACCTCCTGCCTCCCCAGCCCCGTGAGAGACCAGCAGGAGGCCGCGTTACCTTGGACAGCTCTCCCAGGTCGGGCCGCACCCAGCCCAGTTTGTCCAGCACACACTCGTCAAACTTGGCCTGCGGTTTGCGACAGCGACGGAACAACTGCAGGCCAGAGTAGTCAAGGCAGGTCCAGTATTCTGTGAACGGCTCCGCACAGTGCAGCTTTATCTGCCTGGAAAACAGGGCCTGAACAATGACAGTGCAAAAAAAGTGGGGGGAAATGTGGTACAGACCTCGAATACGCAGCCTTGCTTCTTGAAAGGCACGGGAGTACCTTTCCCCACTTATAAGACTACCTGGAGATCCTTAGGTTAAGAACCAGTAAGTTAAAAAAAAAAGATTTCTGAGGAGTAAGATCTAACTTCTTTGTGTAGCAAAAACAAATGAAAAGAAATGCCAAAAGACTCTGGTCTAAGGTACATATATATTTTACTAAGAGAACTCCTCACTTGGGACCTATTTATTCTCTTCAGATCCAAGTCTAAGGATTACCAGCTTAGCAAACTGCGAAGAGAAAGAGGCAGACTCGGAGATGGGCATGCTGGCAGAAGTCAGAGGTGACAGACAAAGGCAAAGGGGGAGACAGAATTATGAAAAGCAAACCCACAAACTAACAAGGATCCTGGGGTCACTCAGTGTAGAGGCAAACTGCCCAACACTTCGCCAAAGCTCAAGGACTTCGCTCTGTTAGTACACTGAACAAAAACAGATTAATCCCTGTCATTAAGAAGAAAGTTATAATACATTTGTTCTCTGTTAAGAAGCAGCAGAGCATACATATAATTCATTTTGTGGCCACCAAAAACGGTTAAAGTAACTTTTGTGCATAAAAGGGGTAAGTCTCAATTATTTTGCAAAATTCCCCTTCTCTTGCCATTCAAGTTTGTTAGAAATCAAATAAATGCAAATTCAAGCAAGACTAAAATACTGTTATTTTAGGCATAAGCCGTACTTGAGGCGGTAGAAACGGAGCACCTCCCCACCGGTGGAATAATAATGACATGCTTGCTTGTCACACTCCAAGGATCCAGCCACACTCCACACAGGAGTCTCATTTAACACGTCTCAGGAAGAACCTCAGAGGCGGCCAAAGGAATTCCCAGAGAAAAATTGGTTTTCCATTCCTGCTCGGGTCCCCTCCTAGGAGATGACCAACGTTACCACTTTCTTATGTACCCTTCCGTGTATTTTGAGTGTAACCTTGGGGGTGACAGGCTGTGCACCCAGAAGAAAGAAGGCATGTCAAAGTGCTGGGGGCCTTTCTGGATTATCTCCAGCAGCACTGACCTGGACTTCGAGGGTCCACAAAATTACACTCGCCAACCTCTACTTGAGAATCACTCTGGCAGTGAGCCGCTGCTCCCAGTGGGAGCGCCGTACTCCTCCAGGACGCTGCAGCGGGGGAAGGGCTGCAAACCACTCTCTGGTGCTTAGGTCCATGTCCTGGACTCTGTTTTCCCGGCACCCACGCCTGGCAGCCAGTTTTCCTTGAGTGCTTTACAGCAAGCAATGTCAGCAGGAGGAACCTCGCTTCTGGAGGCGGTCGGGCACCGCAGGAGCTTGTGAAATCCAAACATTTCCCACATAAATACACTCCCTCTGAGTCAAAAGGAAAACTGCTTTGCCAAAGTTCTCTTAGAAAATAACTTTTTTTAAATGAACACACATTCCACCTTATTGGCAATCAAATCCATGCAAATTCAAGCAAGAATAAAATACTATTTTGTACCTATCAAATATCTAAATGATATGCAATTCTGGTGAGGGGTACCAGGATACAGTGCTGAGGACAGCATACACCGACCCAACTTCCAAAGAAATGGCCCCCATAGTTCAAGAGCCATAAACCATGCTCAAAACCTTTTACAGAAAAATCTCACTGCTGGAAAATGTTTGCCAAGGAATTAATTTTAAAAATGAGAACGATCTTTACACAAAGGTCATCACTGCAGATTTCTCCAAAACAATCAAAAACTGAAATCAACAATGATGTTTAGTGACAAGACTTGCTGAGGTACATTATGGCTGATTTATCTACTGAGGGGATATATTACATGGCCATTAGAAATAACGGTCACCAAGACAGAGCAACGTGAAAGAATGTTCCCAACAGTTTCCAGTGAAAAACGAATTTTAAAATGTATGTGCACTATGACGTTCAGCACAGAAATATCTTCACATGTAGACAAAGACAGCAGAAGCCAAGGAACAGGGAAAGCAGCTTTGTGTGAAGGAATTTCTTCCGCCAACGTCATCGTAGGGCACATCTGTGGGTTCTGCCTGGCTAGCAGTCACTCCCCATTCTTCTGCAACATCCTTCTAATTTTCCTTTGGGGAACCACCTCTCCCTCCCTCTCAACAATGTGAATGCTGTGAATGTGATGAATCTGAGTCTACTCCCCACTTGAGGCCTGACCACCCACAGCACTTTATCTCCCGAAGCACAGCTGATTCAAAGATGTGCACACGAAGTCGACCAGCCAGGCCAACTGGACTCCGTCCAGGGACTTCTGCTCGTGCTGCTGGGTGGCTTTTTGTCTGGGTCAGTCTGCCAAGCAAGTGGCACAGCTGCTTGGGGCGGCTGCTGGCCATCTTTGCTACAGCAAGGAAAGAGTCTCTCTGAAAATGAGTTTGACAGAGAAAAGCAGAACTAAGCAACTGGAAGGAGAAGAGGTGAAGCAAAAAGACACCAGGCAGATGGGAAGTCATCCAAGCCCTTGAATCCAGCCCTGCCTGATGCCAGTCCCATTTCTGGACTTTACAGTTACATAAGCCAACTCCCTCTGAGTTGAGTTTCTGTCCCTTTAATAGAGTTCTGACTAATATCATGTTAAAATCTTTTTCTGGTATTACACTTTGAGGGTTTTTTTTTTCACTTACAGTATCACATACAGTGGCCTACCTAAAAACTTGACCCTGAACACAGTGCTCTTCCCGTCGTAACTGTGTGTTTTGCAGTAGTCACAAGGACAGCAATCTGGTGAGCGCCTGCTAGCAGGCCCCGGGCTAAGTATTTTCATGTGCCCTCTCAAATTTCTCACAACGATCCTATGCGATTGGTAGTAGTCTACCATTGGGAAATGGAGATTCATGGAAATTAAAGAATGTGCCAAATAATAAAAACAAGGAACAGAAATTACTATCATTTATTGTGTGCTTTACAACTTTGGTCTGATTGCAAAGCCTTCCGTTTCCTGTTAAAATTAGTCAGTAAAATTATCCTTCTACTTAATTAGCTGGACGTTTACTGAGCTCCATACACCTTGATGTTTCAACCAAACAGGCACCGGCGTGATGAGACCTTACCTAAAGAAGTCCAGGGCACACTTGTTGACAAGCTTGCCTTCCTCTAAGCACCGCCTCGGGTCCTTCTCCTCCCAGCGGCAGAGCATGAACTCCTTGTTGGGCTTGTCGCACTGAGCTCCGTAGTGATGGGCGGCGGCCTTCAGCACAGAGGAGCTGACCTTCACCTGGGGAGAAGGACCACAGACCTGTGACCAGGACATCACTTCCTCAACGTCCCCTCCCACCGGTCAAACCCGAGGGGACAGAACGGAAGCACCATTCTGACTTTGCCAAGAAGACCAAAGACAGGAGACTCGCATAATCCTCCCTTATGACCTTCAGTGCCTAGGAGATCACAGAGCGCTTCCACATACATGGTCTCCCACATCTTTGTG